CCTAACAAGCATGTCTACCGTTATATTTTGTACATTCAACTTTGAACATTCTATTGCAAGTATTGAATAGGGTTATCTAAAAAGTCCCTTAGTAACTTATGTGCAAGGCCCTCGCCTTCTGTCTCAATTGAAATCAAGTTGAATACCAAGCCCATTTTAGCATGTTGCATGTTTACATGCATTCTCTGACCTTTTTCTGTAACATTTTCCTTTCTTTTCATTATTTCTTTTCTGCATTTTTCTCAAAAATAGATTATTCTTTTCTCTGTTTTGATTATTATTTTTTGGTTGCATGCATTAGGCAGGGACCAAGGCTCCAAGGCAACCATGGCATGATTTGCATTGCAGAATTGATGGGCCTGCTGTATATGATGTGCTTATAAACTTTGCTCAACGATGGAGGAAAGCAACAAAGTGGAGGGAATTCAAGTTTTTTAAGAAAACAATGTCCCATTGGCATGATGATGCTATGCTAAAAATTGAGCGTATCTCATGGATACTCAGCCCTGCTTTGGCTGTTTTAAAGGATAGTACTGCAATCCCAGAGGATGATCCTAAACTACATGTATATGGGGAAGATCACTCAGAAAATTGGCATGTACAGGTTGATACTTTTTTGTTTTGTGGATATCTCTGAATAACTTACATCCTTTTCAACTTTCATCCTCATTCTTTTATTGCAGATCTTCCGTTCCATTGATTCTGGTTCGGTGCAGGGATTTCCCAAGACAATTGATGTTGCGCATGCACAGGCAAGGAAACCATAGCCTTTGTTCTATTTTCGAACTTTTGCTAAAGTAGCTGTAATCCGTTAGGAACTCTAGGAAGAAAACTTGTCTTCCCCTCGCACTTCACATTTTCTTTGGCGTTATATCTTTTGCAGAACCTTGTCTGCTCAAAAAATCTGATAGTAGATAAAAGCATTGAAGCCGCATATATTCAGGCAATAAGATCAGCTCAGCATTTCATATATATTGAAAATCAGTATTTTCTTGGATCGTCATACGCTTGGGAATCATACAAAGATGCAGGTCAAATTTTAATCTTCTTGCTATGTTTCTGAATTGCAATGTACAGGATTCCACTCTGTAGCATTGTTTTAATATTGGCTTGGGTTTATATTCTTGTCCATATGAAAAGTGGAAACCTGAATTGTTGCAACTTAATGCATTGAAACACATAGGTAAAACTCAATAGTGCGGTCAGAATATGGTTCGGCAATAGAATATCATCTAAATGACCACTTTGTCACTTGGAATGCATCCCCATTTTAGAAATTTAATAGGATGTTGCTTCAAACTTGGTAAGATTCCAAATTATGCAGCTTCCTAGAAAAAAATGAAATGTTTTTGAGATTGTGCAACCTCCTAAATAAAAATTGTAGCTCCTACATAGTTTTCCTTATATTTCTTTTCGAGATGTACTCATTTCCAACACTCTTGGAGTTGTTACATTGCTTCCTGATTTCATTTGATGTTCACTTGATCAGGAGCTGATCATCTGATACCGATGGAATTGGCACTGAAAATCACTAGTAAAATTAGAGCCAGGGAACGATTTTGTGTATATGTTGTCATGCCCATGTGGCCTGAAGGGGACCCTAAGTCAATCACTGTGCAGGAAATACTCTTCTGGCAGGTAATTTTCGTGAAACTCTTTGATTATGTCTTTTGGATTTTATGAAGAAGATAGGTAGGTTTAAATGAGCAATGATTAGGTGATACTGATACTGGCCATAACAATAAAAAAAATGATTAGGTGATACTGGCCTCAAATAGGCAGCTATATCAAGGCAAGGATACTTTCACAATAGAAATGCCAGCTATCTTGAACAGTTACTGCATCCAAATATCTGAATGTACTAGTCATAAGAGTGTGCATTAGCATAAACAGTGGCCACCTCTTTCTAATATCTATAATCATGCCTATCCAATGGAGAGAGCTTTTCTTTGCTTTAATAGTTGAATGAGAAAATATTCTTATCCTTTAAAATGGTATATTTCCTTCCTTAGACATGGAGGGACAAGCCAGAAAAAGGACATTGAAAAGGGATGTTTATGGGCATTATTGTATGTTTGAGAACCTGACAGAATGAAAAATGAGTGGTGATTTTGATAAAAGACTCTACTTTCCATGACATATTTTCCTTCATGCCTCTCATTGTTATTATATTACTATGCAATTTTGATGATTCAATATGTGATTAACTGAATATTGAAGGAAGAAGCCATCTGAAAAAAGGTATACAAGAAGAAATGAGAAAAGCTTTTTAAGATTTTTGTTTGCTTACGACAGAGCCAGACAATACAGATGATGTATCAAGTTATTGCAACAGAGCTCAAATCGATGCAGATTTTGGACTCACATCCGCAAGATTATTTAAATTTCTACTGCCTTGGTAACCGTGAAGAAATTCCAGGCTCTATTGCTCAATCTTCTGGTAATGGTGATAAGGTAATAGGGAATTTTCTTATTCTTAAAATATTCTTGTAGTGTATATACAGTATTATACACAAATACACTTGGGAGCAACTGAAGCAAAAGCTGCCTTTAATATTGATAAAAATGGGTTCTAGAGTCTTAAAAAATGGCTGACTTTTTAACTTTAAACAATATCAAATTTCCTAAACTCTGCTTGTTTTACGTCTCTCCGAACTCTATATTGGTCGCTCAGTTGGTGAATGATTATTCAAAAGCTTGATTACACAAGTTGTAGCATGCTTTACTATGGACCACTAGTTGGGGTGGGTAAACCATTTATGATAGAGTGAGACTGACTTATAAAGGTGCAATTGAGATGAGTTCTTCAGGTGAACAGAACAGAGTTGTTTCACGAACCACCCACGAACCTAATAGTTGGATCCATGAGGAAATGCCAGTAAGGTAGTAACTGAAGCCTTACTCTAAATATGTCGAGAGGCTGACTGAATCCAATCATATACACCCTGAAATGATACGAAGTTCAATTTTATCAAGTAGCTAACGTAAGCATATGAGTTAGTGCATAGATTTAGGAAACACCAGTGACCAAATCAAATACAGTAAACACAAATTTATTTCGTTGTGAGTTGTCACCCTCTTTGCTTTCTTGTTTTTTGTTTTATTTTGTTTATTTGAATTTGATCAAGCTTGAATACTTTTGTGAGAAGTTTTCTTTGACGTGCAACCAGGTCTCAGACTCATATAAGTTTCAGCGTTTCATGATATATGTTCATGCCAAAGGAATGATAGTGGATGATGAGTATGTTATAGTGGGCTCTGCCAACATAAATCAGAGATCTTTAGCTGGGTCGAAAGATACAGAGATAGCTATGGGTGCCTACCAGCCTCATTATGCATGGACAGAAAAGCAAAGGCATCCACAGGGACAGGTTTGAAAGAAAATCACATAATGCACATACTTTATCTTGAGAAGACACGTTAACCAAACACTGATGTTAACAAAACCGGATACATTTATTTAATTATCTTGTCTTGATCTCCAGATCTACGGATACAGAATGTCCCTGTGGGCAGAGCACCTTGGGAGGATAGAAGAATGTTTCAAGGAACCAGAGGCACTAACATGCGTGAGGAGGGTGAATGAGGTTGCTGAAGGTAACTGGAAGAGTTACACAGCTGAAAATTTCACTCAACTACAAGGACATCTTCTCAAGTATCCAATACATGTAAGCACGGACGGGCAAGTAGGTCCATTACCTGAATTTGAAAATTTCCCAGATGTAGGGGGTAGAATTCTGGGAAATCATGCCCCTACTATCCCAGATATTTTGACCACGTAGTCCTCAATAATTAACACAATTGTGAGTGTTTGGACACTGTAAAAATATGTAGCTGCAAGATCCTTGTTTGTCAGTTTGTACATTTGTTCTATGTTGTACAATACAGGGTGAAAAAACAGGTAGAAATGATTTGATTGTGGGCTTGTATTTCTGCTGGATATTGTGGGTCTCATGGGGACGATAAAGTTGAGATGTTAATTGTTTTGATTCATTTTAGTTCATGTGCTACAATTTTTCTTTTGAAATTCAATTATAATAGTTATAGATGACTATTAATCAATTAACAATCTAATACTTTCTATTAGAAAAAAAATTAATTCATTGATTAGAGAAGTTTCTGAATGCCAATTTCTAGCGTCCCTGATAACTTAGGATTAGTGGTGATAGGACTGTTATTGTGAAAATTAAAGCTATTAATCAAGATCTTCTTGTTTCAGTCGTATGAAATCTTGATTAAATTTGAACTTTTGTGCATTTGAAAATAAAAAATAAAAAAAAAATATATATATATATGACAACTATTGTAAAACATCTATAATTTTTAGACTTTAATTCTCTTTATCCACATATAAAAGAGAATATAATTTGAATAATGCTCCAAGACAAAAGAAATAGATACATCATGAATGTATCCATATTTGGAGTTACCGACGATTTTATTTGATTTTCTTATTTGGTTAACAGAAGCTTAGCATTGCTATACTCGCACCCAAACAAAAAAAAAACTATCCAATATTTTTTTTTTTAATTATTTGATTCAATTAGAAATTGGTTCGGTTTAGAAGAAACGTCCAATTGAGGGGTATACTTATTAAGTATAGTAACATCAAAATTATTTTTAGTTAAATACTAACATAATAATAAAGGACAATTTCAACTACTAATAAATAAAAGTAGAAAATATTCTTGACCGTTTTCCCACACGAAGAAAAATAAATATTTTTTCCTATCTCAAAGGGATTGAAGTGGTGTTATTTCAAAATAAGAGGGCATAACTAAAATTCTGGTTATTACACTAAAAGGTTGAACTCTTTTAACATTTAATTACAGCATCGTTCTTGTCGCGTCAAAATCCGTTTGTCCCTCATATTGGCAATTTAGGGTTCGCTTCCCTCATCTGAAATGGCAAGCCTTGCTCTCTCTAATCTCCCATTATCTTTCTTCAATAATATATATGTGTTTTGCATAATTTCAGAATTTTTTTGACCTAATTAATTGTCGAAACAACAAATTCATCATCTTTATGATTTCTTGCAGGCTGATTCTCCTCGCAAAAGGTACCACTCTCTTTCTTTATGTAACTTTGAGAATTTTCTGTGTATTTGTTGAATCGCCTTGATCCGTCTCAACTTTCGGTAATTGATTTTTTTTTTATTAGGATTTTTTTGTCTGTATTTCGCTGATTGATATTTTCTCTATTCGGTTGTTGGCCTTGTGAAGGGTGAATACATTGTTTTATTCATCAGGCTAGTTGGGATATCTATGTGGCGTAAAGAAATTAATTGGGGTCTGTTTGATTTTGGGGGAGTTCATTTTGATTTGTGTTTTGGAGAGATGTTAATGTGCTAATCTTTTTTAATAGAGAAGTGGTAATGTATGAATCTGGTTTTGGAAGAATTGTTTTTAAGTTTATCATGTAGGGTTAGTTTTCCGTTTGTTTTCTTGGGGAATATCACTGAAGCATAAAACAGTTCTGAGGCTCTCATATGGGTAATTCTGTATAACAAAGTCATTCATCCTATATGTTTCTTATGCAAAGGATAAGGTTTGATTTGAAGCAAAGTTTTCCAGGAACATCCTAATGAAGTGTCCCACTGTATGATCTTCTACTTATTGATAATAATGGTTACGTGCTAAGTCTTTCTTGAGTTAGAAAGTATCGATCAATCTTTATGGATAAGTTTTTGACAATTTTTACAAGTACAATTGTTGAGCATGTTTATGGAGAACACGTTTACATAATCGTACTATCTTAGCGATGCATTTCTGTTTTCTTTTTGTACACAAATAAATCTCCAACGGATTTTCTTTAAGGCACTGTCTTTAGTATATTATTAGTTGACAGAGAAATTTTATGAGCTACATATACTTGATAAAGATGCCATCATTACTCGAGGAACCATCTTTAAAGACATGTGGTTGGTGTTAATGTTTTTTTTGAGGGCTAATAGGACTGAACTGTTTCGATGTTGTATTTTTTGGACTCCCAGGTATTCCCGCTCTCCTTCACCTTGGGAAGAAAAGTCAAGGTCTCGCTCTCGATCCCCAACTAGATCACAGTCAAGGCCAAGAGGAAGATCCAGGTCCAGAAGTCATGGAAGGTATGAGTGGAACTTTAGTTTTACTTCACCTTCTTTATGTTAACAGCTTCGTTTCAGTTTCTCTAATTTTTGCTCCATGACTTGATTAGGGCTGAAGAAACTAATCCCGGAAACACACTCTATGTGACTGGATTATCTTCAAGGGTCACTCAAAGGGATCTTGAAGAGCATTTCTCAAAGGAGGGAAAGGTTGGTTTCTGGTTTACGTATAAGCAAGTTGTTTTCTGGTAATGTTTCTGCCATGATTCGGTGCTCATACGGCATACCAACATTCTCTCTCATTCAAAATCATCCGTATTGTATCTACTCTTTATAATGGAAATTTTTCATTTATGATGATTTTCTCAGAAACATCTAGTTTTCATTTAAGTTTATTGTATGAGCAAGTCTTGTCAATGCATTTGCCAAGATATTGATGTGTTGTGGCATTCTGGCTGGATTCTTTTCTCATTGTTCATACTTTAAAGCTTGCTATTGAAGTTTCTCTTTTACTTTCTTTTGATTAGGTGAAGTCAGCTTTTCTGGTTGTGGAGCCCCGTTCTCGCATCTCTCGTGGTTTTGCTTTCATAACAATGGATAGTCTTGAGGATGCCAATCGCTGCATTAAGCACCTTAATCAGTCCGTCCTTGAAGGCCGGTCCATAACAGTGGAGAAGGTGAGCTATTTATACATTGATTGATGAACCATTGTTCTGTTGGGTTGCTTTTCTTTTTTCTTGACTTGGAGGTTTTCTGATTATATTCAGAAGACATTACGTCAGCTTTGTTGGCAGCAATCAAAGATGATCAGTTCTTCCATTGCAACATTATATTCACTCAGCTTGACCAAATGGCCTGCTAAAACAGCTTTTCACATGCATCTGATCAACTAAACTTAGCAACTATTTTGCCAAACAACTATACAACCTCAGCAAATACTTCAAACTCTCAACTAATCAACGATCATTATCAACAATATAATCAGGCTTTTATGGTATCTCATCCTGGCATTGGTTCTATCTCCATTTTTTAGCTGTTATAAGACGTGCAAAAATATTTAAGCTGCTATCCTGTGTGACTAGTGTCATATCCTACATCTTAGTAATAGACATGGTTATGTGCTTGTGCCACCTTCCTCACCAGTATCTCCAGTTATGCAGAGGTTTTTCGAAGAGACTTACTTTTTTTGGCACAAATTAGTTGAATGTTATGTTCTTCCTTTAGGAGTGCATTTTCTGGTTCTCGTTTGTTTTGGATGTTAACATCATAGGTTAAGATTTCATAGAATTAGAAATATATCTGTTTTTTTGTTGTGAAGAGAACACCCGAGAAAAGCAATTTCATAATCTTCCATTACAAGGAATTCATTCTCTAGAATACATTATCTGGTCGAGATAAGCCATTTGTTCTTGATGTAAATCTCATATGTTCAGATTTCACATATTGAGATGATATATTTTGTTTTTCAGTCTCGTAGAAAACGCCCAAGGACTCCAACACCTGGTCATTATCTTGGGCTTCATCAGAGCGGAAGGGGTGATGGTAAGATTCTGATGCTGTGTAAGTTTCTATTCTATTCATACTGAATTGTGGGAATCTCTAAAGTACTCATTGCTTTGGTCAAAGGTTATCATGGTGATCGTGGTAGGTATCGTGGCCGTGGTGACTATGGGTACCGAAGATCTCCAAGACGCTCTCCATATAGAGGTGGGAGAGATTATTCTCCTAGACGCTCACCTTATGCTGGAAGGTCGAGACGTGCCCGATCCCGGTCATATTCTCCTTATGAAAGGAACTACCCTCGTGGTTATAGATAAGGGGGTTTCACAAGGCACATGCGGTTTCCTCCTCAGCAATGAAAACTGCTTGTAAGGATGTATAAGTTTGATGTGGACTAGTCTTGATGGTGTGTAAGGTGTTAAAGAGTACTGGTTAATGAATGTATGTCTGGTGTATACCTTGAATGTGGATAACCTGTAAGCTTGATGATGTATGTATTCTCTTTCGTTGCTTGTCATTTTGTGGTCTTCATGGACCGTGACATCGTTTACGATATCTGTTGGTTCATTCTTCCGTGTTGTTTAGCAACTTTCTGGCTTGTGGCTTTGTCTGTTACTGTTATTGTCAAGATCCTCTCTTTTCTTTGTGTTGAGCAAATTTTCAACTCAACCCGTAACTTGGATACTAATTTGCTTAATGGTATTTTCTTGAACAAAATGGAGTAGCTGAGTTTCTTAGATATTTGTTGATGACTTGATTTTACAAGATATGACATTCTTGGAGATGAGGCGTGATAAAACACCCATGTTCGTCCAACCCCAACATGACATTTGCCTCATTCTAGTACAGACATAAGGGCCTACGAGCTTATCAAGTTGTTAAAAGTAGGTTCTTTAGTTAATTAAACATCCAACATAGCTACTGAATATTATAGAAAGAGTGACAAATAGATAAGAATTAAGATGACTAGACATCGAACAAGCTTCCAGAAGTCAACAATAATATCCTACATTTTCTAAAGAGCACGTGAAGAGAATGTGCTACAATAATATCCTACATGGACTATTCACTAGTCTTGCTTATATGACTTTTTCTTCTTCTTCTTCCTACATATTGACCTAGTAGTAGCTATTGAAAGAGCTTTGACTAAATTTGTTCAAAAATTTAAAGGAGACCCTTGTGAACTTAAATATTGCTAGCTACTTCAAAATGTTTGAATTTGTGAACAGAAGGGTTAAATAAAAGAAAATTGGAAAAAAGAAATTGAAAGAAATACGAGCGTTAGGAGCACACGATGCACGTTTTGGCGCACTCTTGCCTTTGCTGGATCTTGTGCTCTTCAAGCCAACCATTTCCTTCCACATGTTCTATAACAATTAACAGACAACTACTATTAAGTAATAATGTTTGATGCTTTGATTGATTGAATATAAAGTTTAATTTGAAAAAATAAAGTAATTTAAAATTGAAACTTTAGTGGTTGTTTGTAGAGTATCTTTTATCACCCACGTTAACAAGTTACTACTAAGTACTAAATTCTACTCTACTTTTTTTTTTTTAAAGTTAATTTCAAAAAGAATGAGCAAAATGTTACTTTCAGTTTTAACATGATATGGTTAAGATCATGACATTAAAAATATTTTGGTATATTTAATATAATTTTATTTTAGTATTAAAATATTATTATTTTTTTATTTTCATAAATTTTATGTCAAGTTAAATTAAATTATTCTTTTTGAAATGGATTCGGCATGTGGTGAATGATGATAAAGAAGAGTATTTTGCCAATAACAGGGTAGACCTAAGAGGAACTTATCTTCCTCGACTTTCCTTTTTCCAACACGTTATTTTTTTAATAATAGAAATGAGATAAACGTGAATCTCATTGCCTAGCACAATACTTCAAAAATATGGCATCTCTCAAAATAAAAGTTCAAACATTAAATTTTTAAAAATATTTAGAAATAAAATTTGAATTACTCCTCTATTTTAATTTGTTTATTTTATTTTCTTTTTACTCTATTTTAATAAGAATTTCTCTTTTTTTTTTTTGACATCTCTTTTAATTTCAACTTTTTAAGTAATATACAAAATTAATAAACATTTTGATAGTATATAATACTTATATATTTATATTAATATTAATATAATAAATAAGTAAAAATGAATATTCTACCAACAAGTTCATAATAAAAAACTCTCTCCGTTTAAAAAAGAGTGACCTGATTTGATTTAGCACGGAGTTTAAGAAATTAAAAAAGACTTTTGTATCTTGTGATCTTAAATTAAAGTTATGTCAAATGTACAAAATTACTTTTAATCTTATGATCTTAAACATGCCACGTGAAAAGCTAAAAATAAAATGTTACCAATTTTTTTTTTTATAAACAAATTAAAAAGGGAAGGAGACCGTGGTTACTTTAAAAAATGTAGTAGGTGTTTTTGTATTGGGGAAAAGCAATCTCGTCCTCGTTGTGGAAGTGTAGTATTTTAAAAGCCACTTTAACATCTACGATGCTCCATTCCTTCGCCCAACAAGAAATATTTTTATCTTTTCCCACCTAATTTATTTTATCCCTAAATCCCCCTTTTATCTCCTGTATCTGTAAACCCACATTGAATTTATTGTCTAACAATGCTCGGCGTTGAGTTAAGGATCTCTACCGTCGCCGGAGTTTTGACGGATCTACCGGAAACAAGTCACCGGAGTGCCAGCTGGAGCTGTAACTCCTCGATTCGAAATATCTCATATCATCTCTCTTCCAGAAATAGACATTGTAGAAAGTCTAGATTCATGGTAATCTGTAGCAAGTCATCACGCGGAAGCTTTAATCGGAAATCTAATCAGAGTGATGAACCGGGTGATGATTATATTGAAGCTGTCGTCCTCGTTTCAGGTATTGGAAATTACTGTTTTGCCCTTTCCTCCGATAATTTTTTGTTGAAAAATACTGATGCAGATAATATATTCTTCATGAACATTACTTTGTTGAAATGTATGAGAAAGATCCGATTTTTCTCTCTACAGTTTTACTTTTTTAATCAATGTAGCTCAACTGCTATTAGTAAGTTCAAAAATGGAAAATTGGTAGCTTTGCTGCTCGCTCCACGGACTTTGAACAAGTTGCTTTCCCAGTAACATTTGACGATCCTGTACTAATTTGTTAAAAAAAATCCACTGTTATGGAATGGAAGGACCTAAAATCTATCTTGCTCAGACTCTCCGAAAATGTTGTCGCACCTGTGGATCATCCAAAGGAAACTACTTTTGGAGTATACGATACACACATTTTCAGAGAGTCTGCAACATAGCTTATAATCATTTAAATTTGTATAAAAAATGGCTTGAGATGGGAAACCATGCACTCTACTATAATTTGAGAAACTAAATAAGTCGATCGATAATTTATATCTCGAATACTGAATCAGTTGAGTTCCCTATTTGATTCCTATATTCCATTTTGGTTTAGTCAGGTCTATTTCATGTGCAGATAACTAGTGTAATCCCGACTAGTTGGTATATATGTATATGTGGATTTCTCTGCTGCCATTATGTATCTTTTCTAAGTTGTGACATTGGTCCCGGTAGAATTTTCATATTTTAGATATTTCTGCCTAGTCCTTTTCTATCACCTTTTGGAGGTCTGTTCCAGACATGACCAAACTATCTCAGGCTCTCTCTCTTTATTCTCTACCTGTGCTACTTGCATCTTTTGTTATTATTCTTCTCCAATATTCTACGCTTGCACGTCTGTCTTATTATCCTTATTCATCCATCTTAATATCCATATGTCAATATTTATTCTGTGGATGTGATGGGACATAGGGGCTCAGCACTCAATCTTAATATAATATTGCTGGTCTAGCTACTTATATAAAAATAGCCTCACTTTGTTAGGCATCTTTTTATCGCATGGCCACTCATCCATCTCTAATACTTATCTTAAGTTATGTGTACTTTGAAATCTAATTGCTTAATACATTTTATCTGTAGTCTTTCTTCTGTATATTAGTATTTTCTTCCCTGCATCTGAGGCTAAGCATGTTTACCAATGCTGCAATGACTACAGAGACTATGAAGCACTACAAAATGCATATGGGTGGATTTCAAGAAGAAACAAGATGGCACTCATCTGCTCACCTGATTCCCTCTTCTTTTCACCCTAAGGATCGTATCGCTGATGCATCATCTTTAGGGACAGGATTTCTTCGCCGTTTCAAGAATCCAACTATTTTTCTTAAGATGTCCTGTGATGCAGAATATGTCTTACCAATTATTGTTGGTATGTACTTTTAAATTTCTACTTGGACAACTAACACTGTCTTGTAAACAGTTATCATACTGTTATCATAACTCGTACTACCTGCTACTTCAGGAGAACATGCTGTCGAAAAACTTATAGATTCATTGGATGAGGAGACTGGGGTAATTTTTTTCAAGATTTTGAGAGCGGATTCTCTGATTTACTTTTCCTTATCTTTCTCTTAACATCTCTTTGAGATGCTGATGTTGGGCCTGCTGCAGGATTGCCCCGACGAGTTCCTGCTTTTGAGGAATCTATTGTTGAAATCTGGCTATGAAGTATGTCAATACCACTTTAATCTATTTCATCATATGCATCCTTTTTCAATCTTGATTTTTTAATCATAAATATCAATCTTGATTTTAGTCTTCATGTTTACTTTTAGCTTCTCTTTCTGAATTTGCTACCACATTCCCTGATCACCAGAAACCTTTGGTTTTCAGAAGCATGTCACTCTAAATGTTCATATTTTTTTAGTTTTATATATTCAGATGAAACTTTTAGGAGGCGAACATTTACTCTTTCTGCCTTATCTTTTAGCTGCCAGTTCACGGTACTAATATGCTTTTACCAAGTATCATGAAAAGTTCTTACTGATTGCTCTGACTTGTAACATGGCAAGTGAGCAGGAGGCTACTCTCACTTACTTCTACGTGTTTGTAAGATGTAACACTTCCTTTGGGATGTGATCACCTTTAAATTGGGGAAACAAACACCGCATCTTTAATTATTGTTTGAAGTGCTGGTCTTTCTTTCTTAATTTGGTGATATATCATTTCCAGGTTAAAATGGTGAAGATTACAGAAAGAGTGACTAGTACTTATTTTGCCAGAATATTTTTCCACAAGGTATGGTCAAAATACTTTGTTAGGTAGATTCAAAAATATACTTCTACTTCTGGGATTGCATTTAATCTGAACTTAACATTTTTGATAATACCCAGGCAGGGGAAAAAGATATTTTTAGTGTGGATGCTCGTCCCTCAGATGCCATTAATGTTGCCAGAAGATGTAAGGTATTGTTCTTGTGGGACTTTGAGATTCAAGTGTGATAATGAATTGCTTCATATAAATTGCTTACCATTGTAGAAAGCATTATGTCTCCTGACTGTTTTCCATTTGACCTTTTTGTTTCCTAGCATTCTGAGATGAAAAGATTGATCTCTCTTCCTTGAAACTAGGGTCTATCTGAAACAGCCTCTCTACCTTCCAAGGTAGGGGTAAGGTCTGCATACACACGACCTCCCTAGACCTACTTGTGAGATTACTTGGGAACTTGTGGTAAAGTTGTATGTGTATGATCAACTTCTTTTCAGTTTTAGCTCCTTTAGAATCAGTCTTAATAATCTTACTTGAGCTGTAATGACCTAACTAAAATTTTGAAAGCTGTTATCTGTCTTAATTGAGCTTGTTCTGGTTTGTGCAGGCACCAATATTTGTGAATAAGCAAATTGTCTTGACTGATGCAACAAGAATAGGTTATGGAATGGACCGATCTAGCAGAATTAAGTCCACCTATGATGTATTATTAGATAGGTTCGCCTCTTTTCTCTCCTATGTGCATTTCTTTGGACTTCTTCCAAACTAAAGATTAATTCTTTTTGGTGCAGTGCATCAGATGGCCCCGATTTACTTTCTGAAGAACTTAGTATGCTGAGAAATATGAACTTAGCAGTGAATGAGGAGAGGTACAATGATGCAGGTACATCAAAGTAAACTTGTAATTATGTTGTTGGAAGCATCTGCTATAGTTTTTCTGTAATTAATTTGTTGATACATCACCAATATTTTCTGGTTCCTGCAGCTATGTGGAAGGACAAACTGATGAGACTTCGTGAGTTCCAGACATGAGCTCTACAATCTTTCTCCAGGTACATCTTTCTACTGTTTGATGAAAGAGCTCTTTGATTACATTAATAGTGTCATGGAATGAGCATATTTATATTATGTTGGATTATGGATATAGTATTCATCTGGCTCTTGAAAATTTAACATTATTCTACAATGCACATCTTTCAAGTTTTGCTGCTATTCATTGAAACTCTCTCCTTGTCTTTTCAGAAATAAAATGTAAATATTCCTTCTGGATTGATGGCAGCTATGACACTGCACTGTATTTCAACATCACATTAACAAATGTTTCAAGGAATCAATAATCTTCAGGGAAGTTTGAAAATTATTGGTGTGTACATGTTCCCCTTGTTTTAGAAATCTTGAAAAGTAAATGCCTTACCTACGTTGTGTCAGTTGGGTTTTTATCTAGCTAACCCAACAATGCAACCTCTAGGTAAAAATGTATATAGTTTGATTGTTGTGAAGAATAAATCAACTATGTGAGAATAGCATGTGCACATTCAAGATGAACTCCTTCTGCGCCAACAATAATAGTACTTAAACTATCGAACGAAAAGAGATGAGATCAAGCTTTGAAGTTGGTAGCTGAAAGACAGCTGTCCGTGAAGGTCAGCAAAGACGAGAGTTTGTTTAGCGCAAATCAACAAATATTGCAAAGATGACACGACTTAAAAGCCATGTGGTGATATATTACCATGACACACAGATGGTGTCTTTCCTGTGCCTCTCATCACCACTCATAGATAGTTGTATATAAGTTAATAGAAGGGGCTGGAGTGGCTATGCTCAAGTTATATGTTGTACATTTGATTCCATCCATATTTGCAGCATTTGTTATATCCAGAATATTAGAAGAACTGGAGATTTAGGAATATTTAAGTTAAAGACTGTAAAGTAAGAATTACCGGAAGGGGGTTCCTTGTCAAATTACCTTTCAAGCAATCAGCATCTCCAGTTCTTTTTCTGTAGAAGGCAGATTAGATAAGCTGTTTACACATAGTATATTGTTTTCTTTGCTGTTTTTCTACCAATAAACGCCAACTTCTTGCTCTTTTGTCAATCACTTAGTGCGTCCACTAGTTCAATACATCACTGTATGCACTCATAGTAATGGTGGTAAAATTAGCCCATGAAAACATAATCTTACTTGTGGCAGAAATTTTGTTAAAAGACATTATTTTCATTTGATATGATATATATAACTATAATAAGGAAAGATAATTTTATTAGGTACTACATATTATATAAGAACAAATAAAACAACGAAAATTTAGTAATAGTTGGATGGATTGAGTTATATATGACAGACATTTTAGTCTATTTCAGCACAAATTTGGGTGTGTCAATAATGAGTCTATTTATTAACTTAGATCATTTTCACTTGCCCAAATTCAGCACATTTGACATCTCTAACTCAGATCAAACAATAAGTTTGTTCATGGAGCTAGCTTGCCTCTTGAATTGAATTCAGTTCTTGAGCTTGCAATCGAAACTCTCAAAAAGCAAATCATATAAATTCTTCATTTCACTTTCGCATTTCTGATGTTGACTTTGGTATTGGTATCATATAAATTGGAATTATTGAAGTTGTTTGGTTGTAAAGGATTCTCTAAAAACTCTGCAGCGTCATTCATAGCTGGAAACCTCAATGCCAATGGACTCATCCAAAAATATGAAAATTATTTCCTTCTGGTTTTCGTACACTTATTACTTGCCTTTTAACAACTTTAGAAACTTATTCTTTTTCAAAATTGCCTCTTTGACTCTTTCCGTCGTGTTTCTTTTAGACAATTTGCATGCCCTACCTCTACATGGAGGTAGTGAGAAAGAGATAGTTTCTGTTAGACCGTCGGCTAAGAGTAGAGAATTTCTTATGTTAATTCTAATCAAGAATCTTGTAAAAATTGTGAATGTTTCATATATGTGTCATTATTAGTTGAGGGGAGTATAATGTTTTATTTTACCAAAATTTTCAAAATAGTTTTAATCTTGAGAAATTTATACTCCCAACATTTTAATTAGTATGTAGTTTCTACTTTCTTATTAAGATTTTCATTGAAAAAATATTTTAAAATGGTATAGATATTTCACTTACATATTCAGTTAGACCTTTGTATATCTTTTTTTTTGGCAACAGTAAACGAGCAAGTTTAGATAATACTATCTATCAATGATTATTTGTATAAAATTGGTATATCTATATACTAGCATAATATATTATCTCTGTGGAAAATGATAGAAAAAGATAAAAGAGAATAACGAAATTCATACAATCCTAAAGGAAACTTATTTGTATAAACTAGTACTCAAAAACATGTATACTATATATCCAAGGATATAAGAGCACTCTTGGTGTTATAAGCTGCATTCAAATGAATCTATTACTTTCGGCTCGAACAAAACATATCCAAAATAAAATTTTTAAGAACATATACTTATTAATTCGGAATTATCGACTCTAAATATGGGATTCAACTGATCTAATTTCTAATTTATACCGTATGTGCTTCCAATAATAGCAAATCAATGAGGTAAATATCGTTTAATTCCATTATTATGTATAAACAAAAAATGCCATTATATATACACAAAGAGAGAGAGACAAAAATGATGTATCCTTCAAAAGGTTGAACAATATAATTAACAAGAAATTAATGGCATATATATAGAAATGATGTTCAAATGCTCTTATTGTATCGATGCCAGAAAATTAGCATGATGATACATCTTCGTATGATATATAATCTTGAACGTTTCTCTTTCATCATCACCGATAAATACCCTTTCTTATCAGTATTGTTATTATTAATCAACGTTTGTCTTCCATATCGATGATGATGTTCTTTTGCATGCCTTGGCCTTGATGTTGAAATTGCCCCTCTCTTATTTTCATATGCAGACGTAGATACACATTGACCCATTAAATTTAACCAAAATCAAGTAATAATTCCCAAATATTCAACCCCTCTTTAAGAATTTAATTTTTTTTCTCTCTATCTAGAATTAAAGAGCGCCATTAGAAGAGGATAGAGCAACTTAATTGATCCCTATTTTTGAGCCAACTTTTCAGCAATTTTTGTACTCTTTTTTTTTCTTTTCTCTTCTACGTGTCTTTATATGTAAAAAAAGTATGAGTTTAATATTATTCATATTTAAGTAGGAAAAGCATATAGTGTGTGGGTGGATTTTCTCAAAAAAAATTATAATATAAACGTGTTTAGGAGTATATTTTGTTGTCGTTATCTGAAGCAATTTTATTTATTTTTTATCCACCAGAAACAACATATCGTCCGTTACCGACTATGATTGGGACAACTCAAATGTGTGTTTATGGCTTACGTTTCTGTAGTCACGAGAGGCCTCCAAAAAAATAACTTTTTATTTTTACATTATCAGGTTTAATACTGTATGTAATTTGTTTTATTTTCAAAATTATAATAAATCTTACGTTTAAGATACTTGAAGATATCTAGAACTACAAATCACACACCGTAAGGTACCTTGTTGTGGATATATATACTTTAGATGATTTGACGATGACGATATATATACTTGATGGTGACCATATATATATAAACGCGCAGTGATGATTGATCGAAGGATCGTTTGGTGTGAGGGATAAGAATAAATAGTCCTAGGATAAAACAATAGTCTCGGATTAAATTTTGGTGTCTTGTTTGGGATAACTTATCCAATCATTTATACCATAGTGATGGGATAAGTTATCCCATATACATGGTGAGATAAGTACTAATTCCATGATAACTAATCCTGGCATAACTTGTTCCCAACCAAACAACAATCTACTCTCACGAATATCATTAAGTTGTAAACTTTGAAGTTGAATTAAGATAATTTAAACCAAAAAAAAATGTTGAAAAAAAATAAATAGGGGAGAATTGAAAACCTCGGACAGTGTTTAGGTGGATGGTGTATGTTTATATGAAGGGAAAAGGCATAAATTCACCCTTTAACTTATCTCGAAAAGTCAGTTACACGCTTAAACTATCATGACGATCTATTACACACTTATCTTGATAAAAGTGTAACTAGTATCACCCCATAACTGACGTGGAAATAAAATTAAATAAAAAAGTAAATTAGGCGCGTTTGAGTCAAAAATAAACTCAAAAAAATATTTTTTTGACCCTCATGCACTCCCCTCTATTTCATGCTCATCTTCTCTCATTCTCCTTTAGACTCCTTCATTTTTTTTCTTATCAAAACTCTACAATTTCTCATTCAATTTTATCATTACTTGAGAATTCTCCACTAATTTGTCTCATACTTAATTCAGCAAAGTGATTCACCAAAAATAATAATTTTCTAATCTAAATTTTACACAACCCATTAGCATCAAAAGAACATTAAAGAGTCAAACCCTAAATTCCTAAACATTTATTACCAAGAAAAGTTAATTGCTTCCCACCCCCACTTATCAAGATTATCAAGTTTACACAGCGCTACAAATTTGATAGAACGAGAGTTTGGGTTCAATGATGATTTATACATAGCAAAATCAAAATTGGTTCGACAATATAAAATTGATCAATTTTCTAAACATCTCTGCTACTCCATCGATCTTATTTGTTGCAATAGTTTGTTTGGTATGTTTTATAATCAGAAGAAAGGATTGAAAATGGAATCATTCAGGTAAGAAAAAAGAGAAAAAATAAAGACAAAAATTGTGTCATTCAGGTAAGGAAGAAGAGAGAAGATAGAGGCGGGGGCGGACCTACGTGGTATCGAGGGAGTTCACCGAACCCCCTCGGCAAAAATTACACGATATATATAAGGTAAATTTTCTGTATTTCTGTAGATATATATATTTTGAATCCCCTCAATAACAAAGAGAAATTGATGATGCAGTGACAAATACCCCTGAAATTAAGTTGTACATCACTGGATCGAATCCTAGTGATAGCACTTTATTTTGTTTCTTTTCAGTTTCAGTTTTTTTTAGTTTTTTTTTTTTTTAATTTTCAGTTCTATTTTTCAAGTTTTTTATAGTTTTTTTTTACTTTAAAAAATGTGTTAAAAGTTTGGTTTTAAACCCAAAAGAATTCAAGGTTTCCATTTCTAAAGGCTTATTTACATGTTTATACTTTTATTTTTCGAACCCCCTGAACGAAAATCCTGGGTCCGCCACTGGATAGAGGTAAAATGGTTGGGAAAAAAGTGAAAAATGAAGAGAGAAGATAGAGGCGAAATTGGTTAGGAAAAAAAGTGAAAAAAATTAAAAATTACACGTGTATGCTTTCATAGGATCTGGCAGGCACGTGCATACAACTCTAGTATGTGTGACTGATTTTGTACGTTAGAAGGTGGTATTAGTTACACTTTTAACAAGAATAAGTGTGTAATAGGTCGCCATGATAATTTAAGCGTGTAACTGACTTTTCTAGATAAGTTTAGGGGTGAATTTATGTCCTTTTCCTTATATGAATGATTGATCCTCATGAGTTGTGTATGATTAGGATGAGGAAAAACAAGTACATTAATTAATTAGCAATTATGTATTCTACCAGAAATATGTCCTTTTTTTTTAATATATATAATGCAATTATAAAAGGTTCTTCAAAGCTACTTGTATTTGTGAATATTGAGGGAAATCTGCATGATTGATTATTATTAATTATGTAATTATGGAAGTGATTAACTAATTAGACGCGTGAGTCACTTAAATAAGTCAGTGGTTGGAGCATTAAGTCCTGAATGATGTGTGTGGTATGGGCTATAATTCACAAATATATATATATATATATATATATAATAAAATCATATTTTGTTATGGACTATAGTGAAATGATTGGCTTGGAATAATGCCCCAAACCTATTTAATTAA